TAAATATTTATTTGATATATTTCAATGTAAAGTTATTTTATTTTTAATATTATATTTATTAATTTAGTGTTATTATATTGGTGCATTAGAAACATCAGCAACTTATGCTATTGGTGATTTATCTAAACCATTATCATGGGGTATACCAGTTGAAAAAATCTGTCGTGAAAGACTTTCAAAAACAAATCCACAAATATGTGATCTTAAATATGGTAAATAAAAAATGATTTTATTTATTATTAAATTTAATTTGATTTATTGCTTTTTTTTTTAGAAAAACAAATTGATGTTAATGCTGTAGATTTAAATAAATTAAAAGTAAAAGATTTAAAAAAGATCTTAAGTGATTGGGGTGAAAGTGTTGATTTTATTGAAAAATCAGAATTTATTAAACGTATTAATGAAGTTAAAGATATATATGTTAAACCAACAGCAGATACAAATAAAAAAGACTTGTGATGATCATTCACAACAATTTATAGTCAATCTTTTTTGTTGTTCTTGTAGCGGATGTTAAACATGTTTATCGTTTTATTTATTTTTTTTCCTTTCATCTGTTTAACATGTAAACATATCGCGTTTCATTTGTTTGTTATTTTGTTTTTTCCATCTTTTGCTTCCTCAACATGGAAAATTACCAAAAAAAAAAAAAAGCAATTAAATTCATCGTTGATCGATTATACATCTCATACCATATTGCTCAACTTTTGACTCGTGTTGTTCTGCTTTGTCTTTTTTTTATATATTCTTAGTCACACTTGGATACATCTTATTTAATTCAGGAAAAAAACAAAAACATAAAATAGTCTAATTCGATTTTTCCAGATTGATTTTTTTTTGTATTAGAATATGTATCGAATAATATTTCGAGGATTGTTATCGCATCGAATTTCAACAACTATTTCGGCATTTGCATCATCAGATGTTAATGTAAATTTATCAAATCCTTGTATTGCTATGGCACCTGATACAAATCATATTGTTTGTTATCATCCAGAAAAACCACATCCATATGAATATACAAAACCTATTGATCGAAATGATCCTAGTTTTGCTAAGGTTAGCAAATATAGTTTTAAATAGAATTCATCTGTAAATATTTATATGATGTTTGTTTCAAAAAGAATTACTAACAAAAATATCTCTAAGATTACTAATGTTTATATCTGAATTATTTTTAAGTTTATTGTCGAAATCTACTTGCTATTAATTTTATTGTTTTTTGAAGCTCATTAAGAACGAGCGAAGTACTCGAATTGAGCTAGGTCCTTTCATCTTATAGTAGGTGTACAAAAACTACTTGGTGAGACTATCGAAAATATAAAAAGATTTGTGTCTATGGATCTTTAGAGCCGAGTTATGATTATTTTACTGAATTTTTTATTTGAAATTTTCCCCATAAATAAGTCGAATGACTCTTAGAATATCCTGAAAGTTTGAGTCGAAAAGAAAGTTCTTTTGTTGAGATATCGAATCCCCCAAAAATGTTCGCTTGCAACAAACACGATACAAATATCTAGTTTACTTGAAAATTCAATATCTTGACCGAACAAAAAAACTCACTCTTTTCAGCTGAAACTTCCAGAATATTCTATTAATTATTTAATCTATTAGACTTTTGCTAATCTTGCCAAGACCCGTCTATAGGATGAATATAAGCTCAAACAGCAACTATATGCGGCTCGGGTATATTCCTCGTAAGTTTTTTATTCGAATCGAAATGAGGAAAAACAAATGCTATTTTAAAATCTTTCGTATCTGAATTCTTTATTAATATTAATTCTATTCGATTGTAGTTTGACATTGACTTATAGATTCATTATTTATGTTTGTTTTTTTTTTTGTATTTTATAAAATTATAGAGTGATGGTGTATTTAAATCTCAAGTTCAACATGATTATGATAACCGATTTTATAAGAAGCAATTAACGAAAAAAGATTTTCGTTTGGAAACTGAACAATTGTCACAAATGTTCAATGAACATCCAGCTTTGTTCAAATTAACGTAAGTTTTTCGTTCAATTTTAATCATTAGAAAAAAACAACAATTCCTAATATATATTTAGACCAAGAAAAGATAAGACTCGTCAAGCACCACAATTTCCTAAACCAACACCAGATCGATCAGGCATTTGATTATGATATTTTTCTAACATTGTTTTTCTTTTTTGTTAGTCAAATATAAAATAGACTTATTAGTCAAAAGATATGGAAATATTTCTATAAAAGTGTGCCGGTAAAATCAAGTTTAATGTTTATGTGTATGCGAATTATTAGAACGAAGTCATAATATTCAGGCTGTTTTCAAATAAAAACTTTTTCGTCCTGACAAAGACAAGAAAAACAAGCGCGACTTTTACAGATGAAATGATTGTAATCTCTAGATAGTATTTTATTGAAGGTAATACACTCATTAGAAATAACAAGAAACTTCAACAATTTCAAGACATTGTTGTTCATATTCGCTAAGAAACAAAACTTCATGTTGATTTTGACTTCATCGTTGTATAGTAGAAAATTGAACTGATTTCATCAATTTTTTTAAGCACTTTGTATTAATTTCTTTATTGAATTGAATAGTATTCTTACATATCATAACCACTATCCTACAGTACTACAATTGAATATTATGGCATTTTGTTAATGTTCAAGATCGTCAAATTGTATTTAAACCTATCTTCGAACGTTGAAATTAATAATTTACCAAGAATTTCTCAACACAAGATAATCGATAAATTTTACTATTTAAACAAATTCAAAACATCGCTGATAATTATTAACTCTCTTTGATTCGAAAAATCTAGTTTACACTATATGTAGCTAACTTGTTTTTTTGTATATTCAATTGTTTCTCATGACTGAAGTGAAAAAACAACAAATATACTTTAAAGATCTAATGATCTCTAGAATTTATATTTATAAACAAATGATTGAAGAAAAATTTTTTAGTTAAATAATTATTGGTATCCTATTTCAAATGATCATTTTTCACATCTACTAATGTTGTAAGACATGTATGTATGGCCTTCTGTCTAATTTATATTCGTTGACTTAGTTGAAAGTAGTTACCATTTGGCCGTTTCTATCAATACTAAATGTACACAGTAGGTGGTCTAGTAAAGTAAGAGAATCTTTAGCTCTTCTGCCTCTAGCATTGCGCTAGACAGATGAACAGAAAAAGAAAAAGAAAAAGAAGAAAAACGCTTATGGCAATCGCTCAATTAATGCAACTTGTTCATCGACAATGTCATCTGAGAATCGATGGTCAGTCAGTAAGCACCCTAACGAGCACGAAATCTGCTCGAATAATTCAACGAACAAGAGCATCAATATCACACTTGTCTTAGAAAACAAGCTATTATTTCGAATCGTTCTCTTGCTTTTTCTTCTTTTCTAAAAAAAAAGACGAAGAATCTGACAACAGTTTCTTTGATAGTTTTTTTTTCCTTCTTCTTCTTCTTCTTTAACAACACTAAAATGTCTCCACCAATAATAATATATCTTATCTATTGATCAGTTTTTCTATTGGATAGCAAAACAAAAGAGAAAAAAAATACAACTGTAGACATACAGAGAGAGGGAAAGAGTAAAAAAGAAAAGAGAAAAAAAGAAATGCATCGATTCTCAAGAGCCTTCTGAGCTATGCCGTTCGTGGGTATGAATGAGTGAGTGGAAACAACATTAGCCTAATGGAAGTAAATTTCATTCGTTAGCTGAAGTTTTTGCGAGTTCTCTTCTTTCCCTAACGAAGTTGTCTCCTTCGTTTCGCATTCGAGTTGTCGGACATGCGTCTTCTCTTTACCGCCGTCTATATTCCTTACTGCTTGCGTCAATTATTTATTACTCTTTTTCTTTTTCTATACGATATTATTAGTATAAGTGTTGATTTGTCGTCTAACAGAATTAGTCACCTTAAATTAAGAGTCCTATAAACTAGAATTATATGATAATTATAATATAATATAAAAAAATCGATAAAGAGAAGACGAAGAAACAAAGAGAAGACGAACAAATTATATTTCAACCACTCATTCACTTTTCTCTTTACTAAGATAATAATCATTATCAATGAATAACAAATAATTGAATTTTGATCAATATATATATAAATATATATACACACGCAAAATGTCAAACTTAACCGATAATAATGCTACTAATCGAATATTATCTTCATCAATTACGACAAGTAATACTACCTATTCACAATCATCATCATTTAATAATCGTACGACAAATACAACTAATGATTGTGATCGATCAATATCGTCGTCATCACCATCAACAACAACTTCTACGCTTGGTTTAACAGCTATGGGTTTAGCAGCAGCAAGTTTTGTTGCTATAACATCTAATAATACAACAAATTCAGACAATACAGAATGTGATTCAAAACGTAATGTTTCAACACCATTCAAATTACATTCAAATACATCTGATGATCATTATGCTAGTTTTTCTGCTTTAAATCGAACATTATCTCAACCTCCTCCATCATCATCATCATCATCATCAACAACATCACCCTTCAATATTATTAATCAATCATCAAATCATAATTTACAATTTATTTCTAATCCAACAGGTTACTTTTTTGTTTCTAATACAAATTAATAATCATATTTAAAAACAACTATGATATTTCTAAATAGGTCATTCAGATAGTGGTGCATTCAAAAAAATAAAACATGAATCACTTTTATTAAATACTCATCCATATCATCTTCAATCTTACAATCCACACTATCCACATGTACCTCCACCATCATTAAATCTCCAATCAACATCTACTAATCATACAAATAATGTTTCTCCGACACATTCAACAAATTCAAGTCAATCTTCACATCATTCATTATCAAATCCCGGTGGAGGTCAATGTCCAACACCAGCACGACGTCGACATCGAACAACATTTACACAAGAACAATTAGCTGAACTTGAATCAGCATTTGGAAAAAGTCATTATCCAGATATTTATTGTCGTGAAGAATTAGCACGAATTACAAAATTAAATGAAGCTCGTATTCAGGTTAGTAACAAAGAAACAAAATTCGTTTTATAAGAATAAGAAAGAAAAGAAACTTTGCACATACACACACATCTTGTCATAGAAGTCTTTATGATTGACAAGCATAAGAGGAAATGTCGAGTGAAGCATGGAATATAGACAGACCGAAAAAAAAAAAAAGAAGAAAGATGATGACGAGTGTACTAACGACATACACATAGAGTTTGATAATTGAATCAAGCGTTCAAACTTTGTCGTCGCGTAAGAATAGATTTCTAATGAGTATGTGCAGTCGACCGACAAGAAACTACATCAATACACGAGAGGAAAAAAAAGACAAGTCTTGTCGTTGTTGTGTTCTATCGATTAGCTCGTGCATTGACAATTGAACTTGCATGTACCAATATTTATTATTACTGAATAGTTTAATTGAAAAGAAATAAGAAGAAAGAAAATGAACGTGACTCTTTGTAGACTATTTATTATTACGATGTTTCTTGTTTTTTTTTTCCGTTGATACAAAAAGGTTTGGTTTCAAAATCGACGAGCTAAATATCGAAAACAAGAAAAACAATTACAAAAAGCTTTATCACCAGTTCTTTCGCCATGTAATGCAATGATGAGAAATTTTTATCAAGCATCAACTGGAAGACCTTATCAATATGGTACAACAGGAACGTCAACAACAGGTACAAATAGTGTTGTTTCAAATCAAATTCGTTATCCACCAACAGCTGTTGCATATTCACAATTTTCACCATTAGCTACTGCCGGTATTCGACAGGTTTGATAGTTTAACAAGAAGTTTTCATTAATAATATAATTTTGTTTTTGTTTTTCCTAGGACAATCCATTACATTTTCAAGATACGGATTGGTATAATAAAAGTCTCTCATCATTTCGTGTCGATCATACATCAATGCTTCATTATCCAGCTTGAACAGTGTGTGTGCGCGTCTTACCTTTTGAACAGTGAAAATATTTCGTTTGCGTATATGTGTATGTGCCATTTTATTCTATGAATAAAGAAAGAAAAAGAGATACAAAGAAAAAAACGAGAAATTTTTCATTTTTTTTTCTTCTTTCTTTGCATCTGACTTAGTTAATTTCATTGTTATAATAACAACTAATTCAATATTAACCCTTGTATACATGAAATAATTGTCGAAAAAAATTAGAATTCTTCAATATTTGTTCATATTTTACAATATGTATTTTCTTGTTTAAAATACAAATAATGATTTGAATCATTCTTTTTTGTTTCTATTTCATATTTTCAATTTGAAAATATTAATATAGTAATAAAACACTTTTTATTTCTACTTTTCTCACACTTACTAATGTGTTCAGTTAGAATAATCAAATTCTGGGGCAGTGCAAAAATCTAATTTTGATCCACTTCACTCTTCTTATAGAAAGAGAAGAGAGAAAAAACTATATATATATATATAGATATATATACATGAAGAAAGCAGAAACTAGAACCAGACTGAAATTTATGTTACTCATGGCATATACAATCAAATTCATCCAAATATAATCTAGGAAAATATCAGTTTTTGATGAACGCATATATATATTAATGTAAAGTATATTTGTAGAAAATTTGTTTTTTTCCTTGACAAAAGAAATTTAAGAATCTTCTTTTTTGTTTTTTATTTATAAAAAAATTAATGTTTGAATAAATAATTTATCTGTTGTCTCTTTCCGACAAAATAACAATCGATAGTTGATTGCAATCTAAATTCTTCTTATATGTTTTTTTTTCTTTTTTTGTATGTATTTGTAGAAGCATGTGGGATCAAAATGATGATGCCTGAAACATCGCGCCGATTGGTTGTTGATCATCTTGTTGAACGGAGCACATCCGCCATGCAACCATTCATCTTTTTTTCTTCTTCTTCTTTTTCTTCTTGTCATTTTTCATTTCCAATGCAAGTCTTTTCTTCTCTTTTTTCATTGAACGACGAATACTTGAGCTGTCCGACCGATACAAAAAAGATAGAAAAAGAAGACAATCTTGTTGAAAGATTACCAGAGCACAGTAATCAAATTCTCTGGATATATTTGCACGATACAAAATCAAGACAATGTTAGAAAATAGCAACTATACAATTACTTCATGTAATTATTAGTATTTTTTTTTATAAATTAAAAGCAAAGTTCTTTTTTTTTTTTTTTTTTTCTTAGTAAATACTGGCGCATTTAAACGCACAAAACAACATGATGGTATAACAATAAATCATCCATTTATTCCACCACCGCCACCACCAGCATCTTCTACAACAACGTCTATACCTCTTACACATCATCAACTTATTCAATCACATGAACAACATCAACAAGCCCAACAACGTAATCATACATCAGCACGTCGCCGACATCGAACTACATTTACACAAGAACAACTTATTGAACTTGAATCATCATTTGCTAAAGGCCATTATCCTGATATTTATTTACGTGAAGAATTAGCACGAACAACGAAATTAAATGAAGCACGTATACAGGTAACTGTTTATTAGTCTATTAAGAAGAAAAAAAAAGTCAAATTCAAATGGTAATTCTTTTTTTTTTCCTAATATTCTATTTATTATTTCCCTTGAGGCAGAGTTGAAAATTGTGTGCGTGTACATTCCGATTCCATTTACACCGATTTTCCACTCAAATCACATGCCGTCTGTTATAGTAACACGGTTCATTTGATGGTACTATTTTCCCAATTGGATGTTGCTTGTTCACACATCGAATATGCGTTTTATCTTCATCTTTCTCTTGCGCGCTCTCTCTCTCTCTATATATATGTCTCGTTCGATTTTTTTTGCACATTCTTTCACTTTTTTTCTTGTAATTTGAATCGAGACGTGTCGTCTTGAACAACTGTTCATTTAAAAAAAAAGAAAAAAAGAAATCAGCATCATAGCGGCAACGAGTTAAACAAAACTTGGACATATGGATCACTTCTTTAGAATAGACAGAACTAAGGTGTCATGTCTCTTCGTAATATAAAAGCTTCTTGCACATGTCATGCTGAATCATATTTATATATGGTCTAATGAACATTGAGAATATTAATGAACAAAAACAAAATAAAAAAACTTGTTTAGGTATGGTTTCAAAATCGACGAGCAAAAGCTCGTAAACAATCACATAATTCATCATCATCAGGTAGTACATCTATGTCATCATCTGTTCGATTATCATCAAAATCATTTTCAACAAATCCAACATCATCATCATCATTTCATCAAATGTTTAATGGTCGAGGAAATGCATCAACTTCATCTCCAACAAGTCTTATGATGTCAACTGATCCAGCTACTAGTGCTGCAGCAGCTGCAGCTGTTTTCTATTCACCATTTCCACCACCACCATCATCATGTGATTTTAATGTTCGTTCAACTATGGTAAGTTAAATAAAAATAAATAAAATAAAAAATATTCTTTTATGTTTTTTTTTAGGATAATCCAATGTCATTTCATTCTCAATATCAACAGCAACATCAACATACAGAAGATGAATATACAAGAAATATGCGTATGCATAATTTATCATCCAGTTTAATTAATCATCATCCGAATCCATATCATCATGGATAGAAAACAAATAAAATAACTAGAAGTTCTTTCTAAAGAATATGTAAAACAAAAAAAGAGCTGCGTAACAGGTGATAGAAAATGTTTTCTTTTTTTGTTCTGTATATGTGCGTGTGTGTGTGTGTGTATGTTTTGTTTATTTCACTTTCATTGTCGCATTCTAATGACATTTAATTATACATATGCAATTACAACTATTTTCAAATCTCTAAATGATATTTTATCAAACGTTAATTTTAACTTTCATCAATTCGTTTTATATATGCATGATTGGGTCATTGACACATTGCTTGTAAATTGAAGAGGTTATGTTGCCCTTGTACAAAAGTGAATTATCTTTGTTGTATATAAAATCAATTGATGCCCTTGATAATTTATGTCTGATTGAAAATTTATCAAAGAATGACAAAACAATTGATACCATCAGAGACTTGTAATACTTCATCTCTTATAGTAAATATGAATAGTTTTATTAAACTATACAGAAAATTGATAGACATGATAACTTGTTGACCTATAGAATTGTCATAATTCAATTAATAAAGTACTCAGATAGATGTATTTCATTTGACATATGTCTCATAAAAGAGGATGTTTCGTTTTGATCAAGAAAAAAACAGAAGAAGAATATTCAACAACTAAAATCTATTTTATAATCATTATTAAATACTGTATTCAACATATGTTATTATTAGATTTATTTCTATTTTCATATAGAATCTTTAATCATTTCTGTGTAAGATGTTTGAATCTAAATAATTCTATTTGAAATCATTTTAAAATTTCATTGTAAATATTAAAGATATATCAATATTATAATATTCATAAAAAAAATCTGTTAGACACAGAAATGATTAAAGATTCTATATGAAAATAGAAATAAATCTAATAATAACATATGTTGAATACAGTATTTAATAATGATTATAAAATAGATTTTAGTTGTTGAATATTCTTCTTCTGTTTTTTTCTTGATCAAAACGAAACATCCTCTTTTATGAGNGTGTTAATAAAAGATATCAAAATATAGCAGCTTTCCATGTGTCTAATACGAGTCTTTTCCTTCTTTGATACAATAATTAATTAAATTTCTATTGTTTTTTATTGGTTCTTTTTCATTTGGTTCTCAATTGTCTTATTTTTTGGTGCTCATTTCACACATAGAGAAAATCGGTGCTCATTTCACCCTTTTTTCAGTGCTCATTTCACTCTTTTTTTGGTGCTCAAAACACATTTTTTCCTTGAGCTGCTGTCTGGTAGGCCACCAGACCAGTCTAATATTGTTTGACTGTTTTTGATGTGATATTATTTTGCCTAGTACAACTTGAAATCTAAAATAGTGCCAAAAACTCCTGGTTTTGTGAGGGTATGCATGTGAGCCACCTATTCACACATAGCCATCCACATCCTTTTACCTATTCGCTATATGTCTGATCATATGTTGCTTTTCTATCATGATTACATTTTTCCGACTATGCGAAATAGTGATGATATATTTTAAAAATTTTGATACATTCTCTTTGTCTTGTATAAGAAATATTTTTCATGCAGCTCGATTCACTCTGCAGATGAGGTCGACAAAAGTGGCTCATGAACAACTCTGCTACAGACTATCTAAAAAGACTTTCTTTCACACATACATTGCAAGAATTTCTAATAGTCATTCAATGCTTGCTTTAAAACTCCATAGAAACATGTTCAATCCATAGATACTTGAATATTATACATCTCTAAAAATAAAGACTCTTTGTATATTAAACATCGAATCTAGTACTTGACTTTCGTTTCCGCTTTATTAATATAATGTAATATTTTATATAAAAGCAATCGAAACATTTGAATTACCGCTATTTCATATGAAATACTAAGGAAGCAAAAAATAACTTTATCTGTAGAATATAATAAATAGATTAGACCTTATCAATAAGTTATTTTTAATGTCTACTCTTATAACAAAAACTAAATAAATAATAAAATTAGTAAAGTATTATCAATAATTTATCGCTACTCTCTGAATATATTTATATAATCGATATAGCGACAGAAAAAACAAAAAGATTCTAATATGAAACTAATTTGCAACTCATAGAATATCTTTTCTTTATGCAGCGTATATTAAGTTATATAATAGACACCGTAAATAAAAGCATTCTATTAAACTATTAATGAGTCATATATTGTTCTGAATACTCATGCGAAATACTTGTTTAATATGAATACTAGAGCTCGTCGGGTCTGAGAGTAAAAATTTTCCATTAACAGGATTCGAGTCTAAAAATTTTAAAATTGATGGATTTTAGTTGTTTGAGAAACGTGTAGGATACATTAGTCAACGAATACAAACAACCGAAAAAAAGTATCTTGTATCTTTAGGACAACTATCCAATTCCGATTAGAAGATTTCATTGAGAGTATTAAAGTACGGTTCGACCAGGTTCAAAAAAAGTTTGATCAAGAGAATCCAGATTCAAAAGCTTTGGGTTCAACGGTCCCTAATGTATACGTTTCTAGGTCATTGAAAAGTATCTACACTAATATAATTACGAACAGTTCTTAAATAGATATTCATATGAAATATTTCATTGATAGAAGCAACAATAAAAAGAGAAATATTCAACTTATTTCTAAAACTTTTACCTGAGTGAAAGTACTTTAAATAAATGTTCATTTTGTCGAAGAGCATTTGATAATTCATCCAAACTAATATCACCTGATTGATCAACATCAGTTTCTTGAAATAAAGTAGCAGTTAATTCTGCTAATGTTTCTTCCATATCAAGTGAAGGAGATTGTTCAAGAAAACAACGAAATAATAATTTCATTTCATCAAAATCAATCGTTCCATCACCTTAAAATATTTTTGAACAAAAATATTTATTTCTTTTTATTTTCATTTTAATATAACAAACCATCACGATCAAAAATTTTAAAAAGAAATTCAACTTTTTCATTATCATTTGCTTCAGTAAGAAATTCTAGATTTCTTATAAATTTATCTAATGTTAATTGACCCGTTTTATCCGTATCAAGATAATTAAATAAACAATCAGCTAATTCAGGCTTTAAATAGGAAATATTTCAAAAATAAAATAAAATAAAATAAAATTCTTATTTCAATAATAATTATACATACAACTTTGAATTGAAAACTATTTCTAAATGTTTCAAGATCCATACTATCTTCTATTTGAGTTCTATTATGTTTTGTACTACGACGTTTACTGACTGCCATATGAAATTGATAAGCAAGCCATGAAAGCCATTTTGTATCTGATTTAAGACTTAACAAAAAACAATAAAACGACAAACGTTAAAAAACATATAAATTAAAATTTAATTTTTATTTAACAAACTTGGCAACAGAATGAAGTACATCTGTAAATTCCATTACACTTAAAAAATTTGTTTCACCAATAAACAACAAAGCAAATTCTCGTCGAAACTAACAAAAATAAAAATTTATTTTCATCTCTTCTCTTTTCTTTTTCGAGATTGATGAATTACATACGGATGTATCTTCAAATAATATACAAAATTCATCTATAGAAAGTGAATCATGTCCATGTGAAATATGCCTAAAAGCACGTATGAATGGTTCGAGTGTTCGAACATCTTTTGTGCGATTGGATATCCTGTCAATAAATAGATATATGAGATCAAATGTTTGTTGAGACAAAATAAATGAGAATATCATGTACACATACTCGGCCACTTTGTATACAGATCCAATCCATTCAGATTCAGAGAGTGAACCGCTTGTATCACGATCGAACAAGCAAAAGAGAGTCTCCAACAATAGCTGAGAACAAAAAAACATAAAACAAAAGATCATGTTTCGTAAATATAAGAGAAGAACAAGAGAAAAGATATTTGAGAGTGTTCATTCATACACGTTGTCGTAGAAGATGCATAAGTTCTTGGAAGTTTATATGTGTACGATTGATAAGTTGGCGTTGCCATCGTTGTATAAGAGCTTCCTTATTCAATGACACAATAGTTATTGGTGTCATCGTACATATGTTGTGAATTCATCTTAAATTCATACGGTGATTTTATACTTTTATCTTTCTCTCTCTCTATATATATATTGTTTTGCAATACTCTTTATATTGTTATAATATCAGACAGATGTGATAGGTGACAATCATCATAACGCGTGTCATGGTTATTTATTTATTTCTAAGGGAACTTACTCTTTGTATAATCAAAAAACAAAAAGAGACCAAAGCGGCATAAATATCGATAACAATCTTTGATTATTTAGTTATCATTGTCACCTTTATTTGAGAAATTAGAGTCTTTTTGTTATAAAATTTTCAATTAGCATATGATTATCATTTGTTCATATATTCTTGCTTTTGCAGCCCGGAAACGAACGACATATATTTTTGTCCTTCTACATTTTGCAAACTATAGATCATAGATTAAGTTCGTATAAAGGAAAAGAAATGATAAAACTTATATATGATCAGAAAGATATTGAAAAATACAAAAACTATTGTAAAATGAGTGATTAGAAAAGATCTACTTCAGTGTATAAGAATTAAACTTCATATAAGAAAAAATAAGTAATGTTTAAATTCGCATAATTGTATTCGTTTTTATTTACTTTATATAATCATGATTTTATCTATTTCCTTAGTAATGATTATCTAATTTGTATGAGATCATTTTATGATATTCGACAAAAATACTTAAATACATTTTTATTTTGTCTTTTTCTTTTCTGTTGAATAGTAAATAATTATTGTAAACTTATCCTTTTTTACTACATCTACCATTTTATGATAAAAAGTAGAACTTATCTAGTCTTTGAATAATTCAATATTAAATTAATTACATTATTACACTTTGTAGCTATTTTGAGGTCAAAAAAAAAGGAAAAAAGACAATCGGAGTCAGTTTTGAAAAAATAAAAATATGTGAGACCAAAGAAATATCCTATAGTAAGAATCCATTTTAGATATAATATTGATTTCTATACATATTTTTTTAATTAAAACTGTTTTTTTCTCGATCGCTACCAATCGAAGTGTGCTGATCGGAATCCATATTTGAGTAAAAAGATTTTATACTTTACATTATTATCAGAAATGAATCTGTAAAAAAAAAAACGGTTTACTGTTATTTGAGTTATCGAACAATAGAAGAATAAAAGTTTCTTGCTGTCGAGATAGTTTACTCCTAACATCCAAATGCTCGTTGACGTGAATATTGGTAGTAACACAATTGAAAAAACTTGAAACATGCAATACACAACTAACTCTATATTAGTTGTAGAGAATTTTATGAACCATAGATTCCTAAAAAAGATATATTATTTTGTTTCATTATCTTGTCCCTGAAACGAATGACTTACAAAATTAATAAACATGGAAAAATAATATTTTCCTTAGAATAATTTGTTTCTATATGAAGGCTAAGTACATCTCGTAGATGTATTGTATCATATATATCTATCAACAGAAATATTTATTAGTGAATTAAATGCCTTATATAAATTTCCCCAATAGCTTGACAGATAAGAGATGTAAAAACCAGTGAGTGGACCTACAGCGACCATTGGAAAATAAAAACAGAAATGACGTATATCATGCATATTCTTTTTAGTAAACTGTATTCCATTATAAATCGAACGAACTATTGATCGTCGATAAAATGCGTTCGTTCATTCATGATATTACTACTTAATGACTAATGAAATGTTTCTAAAAAACTTCGTGTGCAGAGTACGTGTACTTTTAAAAATACTTTTCATACCATCATCTTTTTCTCTATTATATTAGTTGAATTCAAACCAAAGATACTGCTCTTGTCTACTAAAAACTAACATTGCAGTAAAGGGAAAAGTACGACTTTGTAGTTTTGTATCAATCGCTCTACTGAAAGTCAATATTCTACTTATTTGTTGAATACTGTTGTATCATTTGTTTTATCAATTCATTAAATTTTTATCTTCACATTATAGGAACTCGTTATATAAACTAAGCCTTAGAGACGGTCTTCATGATAGTCATGACTGGTTTTTATTTTACAATCTTAATATAAATGTCATATCAAATGTATGCTGAGAATAGATGATCAACAATCGATTCTTAACTAATTTTCTCCTCCAGCTTGATTCATTCTCGTAATATTTAGTACCCATAGAACCTAAATACAAGTATATATTTCTTAACTTTTTCTGATTAATTATGATTCTGTTATTATCTTTACAAATAATTATTGTGTATGAAAATTACAAATCTTATTCATAGAAGACTTTAATTCTTTGGTCCTGTATATTATATTTTCAGTCAAATTTTCTTTTCAGAAAAACAAAACAAAACAAAACAAAACATAAATCATCTCTCAAATTGAACTTTTCCACCATTGTCTCAAGTTCGCTCTGTCTTTCTCTTGAAAGAAAACAAAAGAATCAAAATTTCATATGTCATGGACTTAAAAAAAACCACAAGACGACAGAAACAAAAAAAAACAAAAAAACACAAATTGACAATTAGAAAGTGTCCATCGTGCTGAAAGAAAAGAAGATCAGAACGTTGAATGATCAATGTGTTGCAAGAGCACAAAAAAAAGACGAAGAACGAAATTTGATGAATAAAGGCAACTATATGCATTGTGCAAGATACATACACAAAAAAAAAGAGAGAATGCAATGAATGAAAAAAAAGATACGTTCAATGGTTATTCTTCTTTTTTTTTTTAAAGATCTATATGCAACATAAAGAACCGGTAATCGGTGACTTTTGTTGTCGGAACAGATAGAGAAGTCTGTTGGCTTTTTTTTTGTTTGAGCTGCTGAACGTAGAAAAACAAAAGACATAGAATTTACGAAAAAAGCAATAAATGCGCACAAAAGACGACATCAAAACTCAAAAAAAAAAAAAAAAAAAAAGAGAAAAAGAAGAGAAATATGAACACCGGTTATGAAGAAAAATCGAGAACGAGAAAGAAGGAGAGAAACATTCGAATTTTTTATGTAAGATAAATTTAAATTTATATTTATATTTATATTTATATATATATGTATGTAGGTCAATGTTAGGAGTTTTGGTTTGTAATTTTAAGCAGCTCCACTTGTGACTGCAGATGATTCTTGTTGTTGATGATGATGATGACCCATTTGATCCATCATACTATTCGGACTTGATGATACAGGATAACCACCTGGATACATCATCATCATTGGATTTCGAAATTGTGACATCTGAGCATAGGATCCAAATATATCTTTAAAAAACAAAGAAATATTTTTATTAAATTTTTTTTTTATCTTGATTAGAATTTTCTTATGTTTTACCATGAGGTGTTGTTGGATAACCTCCACCAAACTGATAATGCATAGCAGCAGCTGCAGCTGCATCAGGAGAATATGGACCAAAACATTCAGTAAATTCAGTTGGGATAGACGCTAGAAAAATACAAGAAAAAAAAATATATATTAATTTAAATAAGTACGTTTGTTTCCTTCTTTTTTTTAATTTCTATCATTTTCTTTCTTGCTTTTATCGTCTGTGCTATTTCACGCGTTCGTGCAAATAATTGACTTTGACAGCAAAAGGAAAAAGGAGAAGGCAAATAGGAGGAGCTATAGCATAGGACAATTGCTCAAGTGTCTTTCTGAATTAGATTAACTATTCTGTCTCTCACACACACACACACACACACACACATTCTTGATGGTCACAAAGAAAATCAATCTAGTTTGTACTATTGAAATGTCACACCAGATTTCTATCGATTGAAATCTGGGCGGGAATAGTAGCAATTGTCAAGCGAAAAGAATAGAATGTATTCATCTGCCATGCAAACGGCAAAATGAATTACATTTATAATATAAAATAAAAGCAGTAGAAGAAATGAGCAGTATGCATATATACATACACACACACAATGATGCAGAAGTTGAAAGAAAATCTACCTTTTTGATTATGGGCTGGAAATAGAAAAGAAAAAAAAATATGAATTTATATTTTTGTTTCGTGCTTTTTTTTTCTATGCATTTCTCATATGATGTAATCAATAAATAAATACAGAAGGAAGCATTAGATACAAAATAATATTAGAAATTCAATCGTTGAGCATTAGACACTCTTGCCTTTCGTTATATATGAAAGGGGTGATCGTTGAGAAATAACTGCTGCTGATGCTGTTTTTTCTGGTATCTTAATAGAATTTGTTCGACGATATAAATTTTTTGAATTCTGTGGTAATTCTCGAGTTTGTTTCAAATGATTACGTCGATGTGTAATAGTATTCATAGGTATATATATGAAATTTTGTTCATCAAGATCTTCACCATCATTTAGTCTTAACTTACCAGCACGATTTGATTGGTCAATCATTGGTTGTACAATACGACGTCTGGCATTGATAAACCTATATATATATATATACATTAAAAATCAAGACAGCATGAGATTCTTTTTTTTGCTTGAAGGATAAAAGTGGCTTATTAGAAATAACATATATATGCGCATTTCTTTTAAGTCAATTGAACATGTTTATTTTACTACAATAAACTACAATGGCCACCAACAGATACTGTAGAGGTTAATTATCATCTGTGCGGTATATTTTTCTTCTGATGTTTTTCCGATACATTTACGAAGTTTTCTTTTCTTTTTTTCCTATGATAAAAATCAATAATCTAATTCTTTAGTTATTTCTAACAAAAATAATCAATTTTGGTTTTCGTCTTTTTGTTTTAGTTAATGATTTCAATTCTTTCTGTTTCTTTTTTTTTTTTTTTTTTTTATCAGAATATTTTGTCGACAAAGTTTAATATCTAACCCATAGATAATAAATTAGATCAGTCAAGTTGATATGACCTTTTTTAATGATAAGGTTTTTTTCCAATAAGCACAAGTTCCTTTGTATATATGACCTCGAAAAATCTGTCAACGAGAGAAGATAAACAGATTTGTTTACAATATAGATATATCTATATGAGCAGTTGGGGAGACCCACAAGACGAAGTGTAATAGAAAGAAAAAAAATGATAAATGATGTCCATTTTGTACATAAGAGATACGGTAACGATTCTAACCCTTGAGGATATGTATATACAAACAAGACTAGCTAGAGTAATAGTTTAGATTCTCCTCCTCATTCTACTAATGTGATTTTAATGATAGCGACGACCGATCGTTGTCAACAACATCCGGCCAGATGTTTTTCTCGAATCTTTTACATAAACTCTATTGGCAAGACAAGATCTGAAAAAAGAAAACGAGAAACAAACGTGACCTATCATCATTTAGTTATATGTTGAACGGTTGTTGCACGCATTATCATCATCAACATCAATATTGGCGCAATAGTCTCTGTTGTTTTGTTTGATCCTCTCATTTCGTCTTTTCTTCTTTTTTTTTTAATTTCTACATGATGATGAAAAAGTCGCGTGCATGCATATAATGATAATCATCACGATAATGTTTGCCGCTACAAGCGTATCGTCAGCTGGCTTATAAATTTGTGTAACATCAAACACATCTAGGCGACACATCGAACTGCTATATACATATATATATATATTCTAATCGCATTTTATCACGAAAATATCGTTCTTTTTTTTTCTTTTTTTGACAGTTCAATTGCTTAATATGTGTATGTGAGAATGTATATAACGCTTGAAGATCTATCTTCTTAATTTTCTATTTGCACGCTATATTAACGTTGTTATGGTTGTTACACTGACGAACAGTATCAGTGAACGAACTGTTTACTTTACTAATTGAGCATGCGATTGCTTTATGTTGATTATTCGTCGGACAGATATATATATATAGCGATATATATATATGTATATTGTATATAATAAGAAAAAAAAGAAAAAGCTTGATTATCATGATTGCCGGCATGTAGCAATAACAAACTAACGAAAGGGGAAAAAACAAGAAAGGCTAGCCGGCAAATGGTAACAAGTCTCAAATTGAGAGTAAATATAAGTTCAGTCATTCATGTAAATTTTAATATATAATATATTTCGAATATTTTTTGTTTTTTCTTTCGATTAAATTTCAATTGGTGAAAATGAAATAGAAATTTTAACCAATAGAAAAATCTTTATATGCATTAAAAGTATTTAAAGAAAAAAACGCCTATCTGATTGACATTCTTTTCTATTCGTGTATGAATAACAAAATAAGTGTGAATAAATAATTTAACTTACCAATTGTTAACTAAAATGAAAATGAAAAAGAAAATTATAAATAAAAGATAAAATTTATTGTAAAAATTTATTTTACCTTGTAAAATTGTTAAGCCAGTATCTTGAGCCAATTGTTTCTTTTGTTCTTCGGACGGATATGGATGCTAGAAATACATAAATAATTTTTCGATATTTGATTTTCTTTTTTTTTTTTTCTTGAATATTAAACTTACAGTTAAATGTTGAAATAACCACGCTCGCATAATATTTGTTGCTACTTTTGGAAAAATACCACGTTTTTTTTGACGTTTTTTTGAATTATCATCAAGATCATCTTCTCCACCTGTATTGTCACCGCCTGAACCAACACTGTTATCAAAATTGTCACCTTTTAAAACAACAAAAATAAAATAAAATAAAACACAAAAGATAAATTTAATCGCTTTAAGGCATAACGAAAGGTGAAACCTAATGTACTTAAAGAGTATTCATCTTTTTTTTTCCTTTTCACCCTTTCTTATGGCCAATTATGATTGATTGACAGGACACATATACATATTGAGTAGTACTAGTCAGACGCGGTAATGCGTCTTGACAGTTGATTTGTGAAATAGCATTAGGTTTAAATCGACAAGAGAGAGAGAGAGAGAAAGAAAAAAAAAACGAGCATTTGAGTATGATTAGCATATAGATTTATTCTGCGGAAAAGAAAAATGAACGGTATTTAAACGTTTGTCTTTTCTTTGCTTTTTTTAAAATAGAGTGTGAAATCAGAGATGATTTTAATTTTCAGTCTAGCACACAGATGTATTGAATTAATGTATACGAAATGTAAGATGAGATGAATAGTAAAAGTGAAAAATAAGAAGACGAAGACGAACAACTGTTATTGTGTTTTTTTGCTTTTCTTTTCAAATTTAAATTAATTTTCTTGATGTACTGTTTTTTTATTGTTGCTGAAATGATATATATTTATAAATAAAAAGACATGTGAACATCATCAGTCAAACAAATTCGTTTGGGAACTAAAATGAACATGCGGACAGATTGGTAATGTTTTTATTCGCAATTATTTATAGAAATGGAACTGAATGGATAATTTGGAGACTAGCACTGTTCCCTTGCGTGTATATAATGCAGACAATATTAATAATAATGAAATGTCTATGGCTATTTTTGTTCTTTCTGCGTCTATCCGTGATTAGCTTTTTCTATGTATGTCGAATGAAATAGATGAGAAAAATCTAATTGAAAAAACATACCCGTTTCACTGTTGTTATCATGTAAAACATGATAACCATTATTGGTATTACCCATATTAGTCATTGCAGTTTGATGTGTATTTGGAGTATTTGTATCTGACGAAGAATGTGTCGATTGTGTATCATCATTATGAATTGAATGATGATTTGGTAAGAGATTATTTTGTTGTTGATGAAAATGTTGCTGTTGTTGTTGTTGCTGTTGCTGTTGTTGCTGTTGCTGTTGAGATAAATGATTTAAAAGTGATGGATGATGACCAACAAGATGATTTGAATAAGATGGATGTGGTGGTAGTGGTGGTGGTAATTGTTGTTGAAAATGTGTTGGTGGAGGTGGTGGTTGTAGAAGATGATGGTGATGATGATGATGAGATGGATGACCAAGATGGTGAGGTGAAACAAGAGGTGTCAATTGTGAAGTTGTTGCCATCGATGAACAATGTGATGATGATCGAAGCTAAATATATAGAAATAAAAATTTTTTCATGATGACTTTTCAATGAGAAGTAAAGTATGTGTATACACTTGAATGAATATCATTTACTCATTTTCATTTTATATGAAATGCAAAAAAAAAAGCAAAAAAAACAAACGTTTGTTTACATATGTTCATTTAATTGTTATAATATATAATAGAATAAATTGATATTTATATAAAACAGGTGTTTGTATAATTCATAATATCGGATAATGTTCAAAAGATTAATGTCAAATGGGGAAATAAGAAAAAAAAGGAAAAAAATACGTACAGATTTAGCTTGATGAGCAAGATTATATGTTGATGGTGTTGTTGAACCATCTGGACTATGTTGATTATATGATGATGAACGTGATGAACTTGTTGGTGGTTGTGGTGGAAGTCCTGATGGTGGTTGTGGACTTGTTTGATCATCATCTTGATCATCATCATCACCTGATTTTGATGATGAAACATTTGAATCACGTTCATCGATTACTAAATCCATAGGTAATTTTCCTTTTAAACATGTTATATAACGATGAGTAAAATTATCGCATAATTCATGAACCTAAGTCAAGAAAAAAAAGAAGATCATTGTTAATGACATTGTACTTGACTTCATGTTAATTTTCTTTTGATTGATATTACTATAGTGCATATGTCTATCTCATTTGTCTGATAAATCGGCCAAGGAGTAGAAAAAAAAGATATTTCGTATAGTTTCTTAGAAAGTGAGAAACAAGAAAAAGAAGAAACATCAGGCATAGATGTTGATTAAGATAAATCTTCTTTCTCGACAAGTGTCGACAGAAAAAAACAACAGATTATAATTATTATTTCGGACTGGCCCCTAGTGAATATGCACATATTCATCTTTCACTCGCTTCTATCGATGAACTATATATAAGATATCATACTTTTTCTAATTCGAGGAGATGAAATCGTAATACTTGTATTGCTTGAATCATCTAGATAATAATAATAAAATTATTATTATTAAAAGTTAATTTTAAATATACGATGAAAAAAAAAAGACTTTTTTTAAACATACCACATTGTCTAATTCAGGATTGGTTGTTATATAATTTGGATCTTTTTGAAGCTAGAAAACAAAGAGACGATTAAAAGCGTCATAACGGAAATCTATTGAAATTTATTGAGCGATAGACATATTTCCTTTATTTTTATTTTTAACTTCGATCGATCATCAACAAAAAAGGAATAGCAGGTGCTTCTGAAACAAAGAATTTCCGGAAACATAAACATGAGCCTTACACAAAAAAAAAAGAAGAAAAAGAAAATCTGCATATTAGATTTGCGCGAATATAAGATGATGAGTTTTGTTGACCTCTCATCATCATCTTCTCTTGTGTCTTCTTCACATGAAAAGCTAATGACATTTTAATGATACCCTCAAGCTTTTTCTCCCATTTACACCATTGAACAAAACAAAAGCTAACTTGTTCTATGCCTTTTCTTTTTCTTCATTTTTGATAAGATGATGATGATGATCTGATTTGCTCTTGGGATGATGTGAGTATTTCTCTTTATCTTAAATAAGATCAGATCAACAAACAGCACGTGCTTTACAACCATTAGTAACAAGGCATCTATAGACATATTTTATATGTGTAGTATATGTAGACAAAGAATGTCTTTGAGAGGCCTAATCTCATTTTCATTTCATCAAATCAACTAATGAAATATTCATTTGACATAAGTGCTACTACCTCGATTACAAGCACACCTCTCTACTTTATGTCACTTGAATACATTGAACAATATTGTTTGACCTCAGCATGACATCTCTTTTTCTTTTTCTTTTTTAACCATCGAAGATAAGTCTTTAAGAATGAACAAGAAAATCCAATTGGCAACATCTGCAAAAGTATGACGTGAATGTATATTCTCGTTTTCTTTTTCTTATTCTTTAAAAGATCTTATCATAGTTTGGTCATTCAAGTATCAATCTGACAGGAGTGAGGAGGTCATAATCGTCAACTTGTGTACATATGTATACATACATACACACGCACATATATATACATATATATTTATATATGATCTATTATTGACTTTTCACCAGTAGTCAACATATACTTTTCATTTATTTTCTTGTTCAAGTTGCTTATCAGACGTACATCTTGTGATAACACATACAGTAGCTCGATATTACAAACTGCGTGCACTTCATGTTAACCCTCTGTCTCGTTTCTTTTTCTCTCTAACTTGAATACAATGTCGATGATGATGATAAGACATGTACACATATGTTTTACCTGTTTAGTAAATTCTGTAACGTCATCATTAAATGATTCCGATGAGCAAACATCTCCTGGTCCACCTGGATCTCTTGGTGTACAGGTTGCTAATTCACATTTTTCAAAGATTAATGCCAATAATGGAAATAATGGATGGCTAAAACAAGAAATGAAATAATAGTGTTGTGTTATCTTCTTTTCTTTTTTTTTTCTTCTTCTTCTTCTTCTTCTTCTTCATAGGTGAACTATAATCATGATCAAACATCAAGAAATTGATCGATCTCTCCGGTTTCTTTTTTTTTTTTGTTTTTTGCTTCAAGGCAATGTCCGTATTCGAAAATTAAAGAGAAAGATCTTTTGATACCTTCGTATTTCAATTACGGTCATATCGATTTACATTTAAGCATTAATAATAATCGTAGAAGAGAAAAAAAAAGAAAAAAACAACCAATAAAAATTGATGTCTATGAGGTCATAATCGTAATAAGTACTTTGCAACGATTTCAGCAACCGATAAAGGAGCAGCAGGCGTAATGATCATCAATCACTGTCATACACATGCGAGAACTCATGAAAAAAAAACGCAAACCAACACATACATATACATAGTGTAACTGTGGAAGGGAAGAAAAAAAAAACAGAATACCCAATGAAACGATAACGTTAGAAAATAGACAGCGAAAAGGATCTCTATTGTATGGTTGCATTTGTTTTTTTTTTCTCTGCTTTTTCTTCTTCTTCTTCTGCAACTTCTTCTTTCCATACTGATTTTGCCTATCGAATGATTATTAGTTAGTCAGTGGTATGCACTAACGCACACACAAAGGCCATTCACCATCATCACTAGTAGAACAGTCACAGGAACAATATCATCGAAAAGATAGCAACCAACCGAGTGATTAGAAAGATAGACCAGCCGAAGCGAACAAGATGATTAACAAAGAAATAAATCTATGAAGCGTGTGCCTGCATGTTTTCTCAATTCTGATATACATCTAGATTTTTTTTCTATTTCCTCTTGAGTATGTATGTCTATGAACTACTTGAACTCGATGTGTTTTCATTTTTGTTTCTTTTTGACAATGAATCGTCTTTAAAAAGCAAAGCATACGTCAACATCTTACTATAGATGTACTTTCGTCAATGGATATAACAAAAAAAAACGAAATGAAAAGTCAGAGCACAAGAGCAAAAGCACGCGAAGCGTGAAGATAATGATCGGTTTCGAAATTACAGTTGTGTATATGTATATAGGTATGGAAAGAGAGGCCGCATTGAAACAAAATGTATAGCGTACATTTGCTCGAAGGTGATTCGCCCCAGTGACTTTCTCATCATTATCATCAGTGAATAGACGAAACAAAAGCTGTTCATCTTTTGCGATTAACAATACAAAAGTGACAACCAAAAATAAAACGTAATCTTTCTCTTTGTCGATAGTATCAATCGATAGACAAACCTTTCTCTTTAATTTTATTGATTGAAATGTATTATAGTAAATTGTACTTTAAAAAATAATCATATCATATGGGTACATATGCATACGAAAAAATACACATCAGTTGTCAAAAAAACAAAAAAAAAACAAAAATTCAGTTTTGCTTTCTCTCGCTCTCCTTGTTTTTTTTTTTGAAGGAGATCAGAGATAAACAAAGAAAAATTTATCTTTTTCATTCTGTTTTTTCCTCTTTCTTTCTTTCTTTCTTTTTTTCTTTCTCAGTTTTTATGTTTTTTTTTTATCTACCTGTATATCATATCTTTCTGTTGTTTGAGCTGATTATCAACATTAATACTGTTCGCATGATTGGCAGTTGATGGAGATTCATTGACAGGTCCAAGAAGACTTTGTAAATGATGAGGAGCTGATGGTGGTGGAGAAGTTTCATTACTAAATGTTGAGGAATAAATATTGCTATTACCATCGGGACCGTTTGTCGTCGAAAAATTTCCACTACCATTTCCATAATATGGTCCATTGGTATCTGTGAGTAACTAAATATATATATATCAAAAAAATAAATAAATAAATCTCATCATCAATTGAATGTCAAAATTGACATCACACAAATTACCCTCTGAGCAGCCATTGATCTATCGAAATCGACGTGTTCAAGACGACATGACTAATTTACTTGTCGGTTAGACGAAGACGGCTCGAGATAGATGGATGGATGGATGGATGAAGATCATCATTCATGAAATAAGACAGCGCAGTTGTTTTCTTCTTTTTTCTTCTCTCTCTGTGTCTATCTATAACTGCTTGTCTTGTCTTGAGTCTATTTACGTCTTGGTTGTCGAGTCGTAACGTGTAATGGATACGCTTTATATCTGTCGAATTTAATAGGAATATGTGACGTGATCGATGTGTATGATTTGATAGATTTCTGGATGTCAATCTTTATCCGCAAGCACAAACGTCTCACCTTTTCGCACTTTCTCTCTTTTCTATGCACAAGAGAAAAAAACGAGAGAGAGAGACAGAGAGACAGAGAGAAAAGAAAAACAGAGGCTGTTGCTCACAGAAAGAGAGAAAACTAAGGACGAAACGAGCGAACACTTGTAATTACTCTTAATGTGAACGGTTACTCTCGACCAGTCAGCAACCGACTTGCTCTTTCTCGCTCTTCTTATTTTTTTTTCTCTTCTTCCCTTTGGGCGAAGAAAAAAAAAGGATTTTCTTCTTTTGCTTGTGCGCTCTTAGGCGATTATATGTTTGCGTCTGCGTGTGCGAGAACAAGCAAAAAGACGAGTGTTGGCGGGTATTGTCGACAACGAAGCATGTAGAGAAAGAAAACGTTTGCAGGTTCGAGATTGGGCAAGATAAAAAAAAAAAAAAAAGTACTACAGCCAGTGTGTGTCGCATGCTGAAGAAGAATGAGACAAAGAGAGAGAAGCAGAGAGAGAGAGAGAGAGAGAGAGAGAGAGGGAGAATGAAAGAAAGGAAGTAAGCTCAATTCATTGTGATGTCGTACTGGAAAATTTTTTCTGCCTTTTCTTTTTTTTTTCTATTTTTTCTTTCACTGTAAAGATCTTTCATATAAAAAACGGGGTTGGTGGACGAACGAAAGATTGTTATTAACGCTTCGACTCACACTTGTAGTCGAGCGTTTGTGCTTCTGTTAGAATCATGATGAAATGAACTGGCACTTGGACGGAAAAGGGTGGAGAAGAAAGCGGCATTAACGTTACTATCGGAAAAAGCAAAGTGTGTCACATCCAATCAAAATTTAGACGAAGATTGATTGGTAGACAACGATGTGACGTGCGACGCATCAAAAGAAAACCGATAAGAAAAGAAGGCATTGAGTAGAAAATCTTAAAATATAATTTTCATCTATTACCATGAGAATTGATTCAGCTCTAAGTATAAAAGCTAACTAGAACTTTCATAATACTGTTTCGCTATCAATCAAATCAAACAAAAGATGAAATATGTGTGTATGTGATGTTTAAAACTAATTCTTTTTTTTTTTGACATCTATACTTAACAAGAAATTACTCGTACTACACGTATACACAGCTTTTTTCAATTTTTATTTTATTGTATTTCTTCTCGATACGTTCTTCTCAGTGGCATTGAGTGAAATGATAATGGATACATTGAACATAACCTTTTTTTTTGCTCATTCATTCAAAAAAGTCGAGCAATTTCATTTTTTTCATGCTTTTTTTTTTGACAAAGAGCAACTATAACAGCAATAAAAAAAAAAAACTTCTTTCTTCTGTCTTGTCGTGCGACGCCGTTTGTGTTCTCTAGAGAATTTCCACAACCCATCAATCTTCTGTTTAGCATAGTTCGTTTGTTCAGTATATATGTGTATATGTGTGCTCAAAAAAAAAAAGAAGAAGAAAGAAGCAATGGCAAGCGGCATGTTTTTAAAAGGATGCTCTCTGTATTCATTTTCCTCATTTGTTCCACATACATACACATGCACAAATTCTAGTTGTACGAACTATGTGTTCCAGATCAATAGAAAATTCCGATGAATACACAACAATATTAAAATTAGTCATTATACAAGCATAAACATATTCTTTTTTTTTTTTTTGTTTTTTCATTTTTCAACAATCCTTGACTACAATCAAGTATCATTCATTCCCACTGACTTTAACTAATTAAGAAAAAGCAAAGTACATCTAATTTTGTCTCTCACTTCAGTCCATCATTCAATCGTTTATTTAGTGTTGATCGTTTTTCACACACACTTTGAATTAATGGAATTTAGCACTTACTCTTCGCGCAGCGAGCTCTTGCCTCTACTGATCTATTCACGCGTACTTTGATCTTCTTCAATTTTTCTTTTTCTTTTTTTTTTTTTTTTTATTCACCGTTTGTCGTGCATCGATAAACCATATCATGTTCAAACACATTCATCTATATGTAATCTGTAAGAAAAAGCGAACAAGTCTCCTATTCTCACATTTATGCATTTCTATTGTATTCGTGTGTATGTATAGTCAAGAAAAATTATCGCCCGGTATGCGTCGTCGCGTTTTGATGATCTCATCATAAGAATAAAAAAAGAATAAGACAATCAAACGAGCGAGAAGGTGAACTCAGCCACTTTGCATTCATATCTTTTCATTGTAATTGAGATCAACAAAAAAAAGAAAAAGAAAAGGTATGATGATTGATAGTGGACACAGACGACAGATCAGAATGCTTACAAAACAAGTGAACCTATGATTATTGCCATTCGATTATGCACACAGTGCATTCTCCCACATCACACCAAAGTATAGAGCGGTATATGTGGTCCACTCAATTGATTATGCATATTTTTTTTTTTATTCATTTGAATTTTCTTTTCACACATCATGCGGAACACAAATCCACTTGATTTTAACCAGTTGTCCACACAAACAGATATTTGTCTGGCTATTATCGATAGTATGTGCCGACAGTTTTTCTTTTTTAAGAAAAAAGGTGTCGATCAATATAATATGATGAGAAAGTCAGGTTTGCGTGTGCGGCTAGGATGGACATTATCTTTTCCGTTCTTTGTTTGGCTATCTGTCTTAGCTTACACTAATTGTTGAAATACGCAAATGAGCATCGACATGTGCACGCGTGAATACTGGTCAACAAAGTTAGATGCCTTTGATGTGACAAATCTGATTTGGATTAATCGAAACGAATATTTCTTTTTTCTCATGAGAGACAACAAAAGAAAGAATCTATAAATGAATAACATACAATAAGTAAACGGAAATGAACTGAAATCGACTTAATTTTCTTAAAGTATGCACCAAAATAAACTATTATTTGATTCCCATATGACTTATCGATAATATTATTTTAAATTAAATAAATTTTATTAAAAAGAAATAAAAATATAATTGAAGAGGTGAACTTTATTTAAATAAATTATAAATGAATTTCAATCAAAAAATGTAATGTGACAATTGATAAGCATATGAGAAAAAGATTCTACGTGTATGTCTTACAGTTTTTGTCCAGATTTTAAAGAAACTAAAAGAAAATGAATTATTAGTGAAGTTACAAGTTTTGGTACAGTTTTTCATTATTTATTCTGATGAGCTCTAAACTTTGACAGGTGCTTGACATTGAAACAAAAGTGTATAAGTCTACACAAACTTCAGCAGACCAAATAGTACTCAATACTGCGTGATAGTAGTAGCATGGTACTATTTATTGTATTGATTGTTTCATTGATTTATAAGTATACTTGAATGATGAAGTGCTAAACGTATTTCTTTTCACGATAAATATGAAAACAAGTGCTTAAATATATACATTATATTGAGAATTTTACGTGAAAGCTAAAACAAAAAAAGTGACTTTTTGTTCAAATTATTCATGGGAGACTTTGAATAGGTGACTGCTACTAGATTTTAATTTTGGTAATTTTTTTATAAAGTAAGAATTATATAAGAAAAGAAAAGCATCTTGATCAATGAATTAAAAACAATGTTGTGCTTCATTATATCTTGAAATGTTATGTTGCCGATTGCGTTTATGTTATATTGTTAGGTTTTAAAGCTGATATTTTCAATAGTGATGAAACGTGTCAGAAAAAATCGAAACTATTATTCTTTGACTAGCATTGTATTTTCTTTGTGAACTCTTTCAATCTAATGACTTGATAGTAAGATATATGAAATATATTGTTTAACAAACGCGTGCAACATAACTTTCAATGCACAAAACAACTGCTGATATCATTATAATATTCATTTTTACTATTGAGAATATGAATATTATTAAAAAACAAAAAAGAATATTAAATTTATAGAAAGATAATTAAAAACGTATGGAAAGTGTATATTTTTCATAAGAACAATAGCTAGTATAAAACCATCATTTTATTCTATGTGATTAAGGTAGAATCTAATAATTTAAAAAAGAGAATTCTAACAAAAAATTCTCACATTTCTTTCTTGTCTAAAGCCATGCCTTATAAACACTTTTGTGAACGTATGTTGATATTCAATTTATTGGATAAAAAACTACGTCTTGTTCTTGTATTAAAAAATGAGATTGAAACACCACATGGATTATTCGTTTAAAAGAATATTTTACTTATTTTTTTTTTCAAGAATCGGAGAAACAGAATGTACACAAGTATGTTTATTCACGTTCAGAGAAAGTTTTAAGTTTAAGAATTTTGAGAAAAACATGTTTGTCTTGGCAAATAAAAGTACAAGCTTTGTAATACACAATTTCAATAATTTATTTGTCAATATAAATTAATAAAACATTAGTTTATTCTTTTCTTTTCATTTGATAATATATGAAATTGTCGAACTAAAACTATTTCTATCATGAATATAAGTAAAGATTAATATTCTTCGAGTTTATACGAAAGCTATATGAGTATATGATAGAAACTTGAAATATTTCTATTTCGGTTCTATCAAACTGACTGACTTTTCTATTGGTGACACAGTCCTATTTAAAGCTTTTTGTTCGATGTACGGATAACATAAACAAAAATACTGCTTTTAAGTATCATTATCTACTTCATTAAAGAAATCTAATCTGTTGTCAAATAAGAAACATACATGTGACGGAGTCCACAGATAATTTTCAGTTCTCGCCTAAGACAATAACAAGAGCAAACTTTTAGAACTAAGTAGTTAGTATAAACATTAGAGCTTACGTCCAATAATTTCTATGCATATTAGAGTCGTTCGGATATTGATCCATCAACATCATTGCAAAAACCAGTATTCCATATTGGAATTTTTTTAAACTAATTAGCTCTAAACGATTTGTTTCTATGCATCAATATGATATCATTAATACAATTCGCTCTTGTTACTGTCTTAAATGAAAATTGAAAATTCTCTATGATTCTCTCCACATGTATTTTTTGTTATTTGACAACAAATAACGTTTTTTTGTGAACTCAATAATGATACTTAAAAGCAGTATTTCTTTATGTCATCATCCTAATATAAAGAAAAAAGCTCTAAATAGCCCTCCATCATCAATGGAAAAATCAGCCAGTCTGATAAAACTAATGTGAAAATCTTCTAACATTTTATCATATATTTACATTGGCACAGTCTATATAAATTAAAAAGACAAGTCAACTCTGTTTTTTATTTTCACATCAGAGGAAATGTTGATATAGAATCTTGCGCCTGAAGGAAAGTTTTGTTTCACCGGCAGACTCTGCAACTTTTCTAGTCAAGGATTTCATTTTTATAATATTCCATGTTGAAATGGTGATCTTTCATTATATTACTATAAAATATATTGCATTCTGGTAAGCTTCAATACCTCAACTTATTCGTATCATAGTCAATATTAGAGAAATAACAAGAGTTTTTCGTCTTCTTAATGAAATTAAACTTTAACAAATGATATTGTTATCAATACAACACTCGAAGACATTTCGAATCATTTTGTTTCGATTAAAAAAGCAATGATATTTTAACGCAGAATATTGAGCAATTATAGAACACAAAATTAGTAGATACTCCTATTCATTTCAGTTTTATTGGTCAAGTTTATATTTTAGTTTAGTTCTCAACCAAATATTGTCTTTTGTGACTTTTAAGCATTGAAATGATTACTCATTTTTGAGCGAATATTTACATTGTTTTGATAGTTAATCTATATATCATGTGATAGCGAATTCAATTCTAAACAAAGCAATATAAATGCTTTTGTGTTAAAATGACAAATCAATTACAAAGATAAGTATATCATTATTCTGGAATCATTTGTAGCTAATATTGGTATGGTATTTATCATCATTCTCCATTATTCGATACAGACAATAGAGCTTTTCTTTCAGAATCAATAACAATCAACAATAACTACGAAAGTGCTGAAATAAAGAGTTACAAAAAAAGGTCTCTTCGTGTATGTGTTATCCAGGTGATTTCATCGTAAATATACAGTACAATATATAATAGTTAATATTTTGTGTCTATGATATTTATTACTTTTTCCAGAACTCAACGGTTTTTGCCTAGTCATGTTTGCATAAAAAATGCTAAACGATATATTAATACTTATATTAGTATAGATCGTGTATGATTAAGTTTACTCGAACATTATTTCATATATCTGTGTGCATTAGTCGCTTTTAAGTTTAAATCGATGTTATGATTGTATGTAACGATGTTGAATTTGTTTTTGATAGGTAATAATGAAGGCTTGTAGTTTTGATCATCTTAGCTAATACTTATGTTGACTCTAAGATAACAATGAGTTATTTTCTTTCGTTAAAGTGGAAGATAACATCGTTATTGTCATCATTCTGTCTTAAAATTTATTTTTTTCTTACCTCATAATAAACATCTGCAAAAAAAATAATAACCATTAATAATTACAAACACAGAAAAAGAAATTTCATGTTTAAAAAATATAATCGAAATTACGAAATTTTTATATTCATTTAGTATCAGATAGACTTTCACGTTCCATTACTGATTGAACAAAAGTAATCACATAAGTTGTACCACGAGGTCCTTGATGTGTAAGAACTTTACATTTCTATATTTAAATAAAATAGATAATATCAATTTCTTAGAATAATTTAAATTCAATACTACGTACAAAACCACTAGTACATAAAATACCTTCGACAATACCAGCCACAAATGAAGCACAGTTTAAACTGCCTGAATAAAAAGAATATTTATTATGTTTAATTTTCACTTATTAATCGTTCTTATACCTTTATCCTTAGGAATAGAAATAAATTTATTAATAAGACATTCACGTTCAATGAGATAATCTTAATAAACATTTAAGATATATCTCATATATATATGTAAAAATTTTTCAAGACGTACAAACATTTGTTTCTTGTGCATGTTGTTCAAGATTATCAGCTTCACGATTGAATAAAAACTATTTAATAATAATTAATGTCCAATAACTTTCATGTTATGTTATACTTACTTTCCAAAATACTTTTTGAATAAATACAAGCATTGGAGTAAGGCGTACTTCACGTTTATCTTTTCCAAGACGTAAAAAAAATAAATCAAGTATTCGAATACCAACATGATGTCCCAAATCAGCTAGTCTATGTTATTCATATTATATTTGAATTTTACTAGTAGAATAATGGGTTACTTAGTTTGAAGATCATATATATTATCAACCCGATTTTGTGAATATTGAACCATTTCGGAAAATAATAAAGCAAATGTACTCAAATTGATCTTAAGAAGAGAATAAGATTTTCTTATCAATAATTTTTTCTTTAACATATATTATTTACATCTCCTCTTGTTTTTTGTAAAGATCGATCCAGAGCTGATGATTTTGGAAATGTAGATGATTGCATGAAAACTTTTATTATTATCTAATTGAATATCAAACTATAAATAGAATAGGAAAAAAATGCTAGATAATAGTGCTTTGATTAATTAATTTTTATCGTCAGTATTCAGCTATGTCTATGCAATATATGGAATTAAATCAACATTTAGCAAACATAAACAAGTTGTGCTGGTAGGTTTTGATAGCAAATCGTGAAAGACTATCTTTGACAGAGGTCAGTATAAATCAGGTTTTTATCAGAATAGAATAAGACTCTATATTGTTGAATACTCAAATCTGACGAAGATCGTATAAGATCTTACTGACAATCGGATGTCGTAAGATTCACACTGTATGATCTCACAATATCATAATAACAGCTTACTGTAAGATTTAATATTTATCTGACTATAAGATGTTACCGCATATTTTACAAGATTTTTACTAATAAGATCATAATTTTAGATCTCACTTATATAGTTATTTTTCATAATAATAGTTTTTGTGCATCTAAATAAATATATAAGCGATTAAATATGTTCTAATTTAGATGTTACTTTTTTAGCATTGAAAATATATGTTCTATGTAGTAATACTGATCTGCTAAAATGTCGCTTCATTGATAATTCAATATGGATTTAATTAAATAGAATTGTGTTTTCTTTTTTATTTTAATCGTTTGTTTTAGTTCATTTTAATAATGAATTCAATGAAATTCAATCTTTTATGCTGAATTACTTATTTTTTTAATCTTGGATGATTCTAACAAACAAATTTCATAAAAAAATAATTTTTTTCTGGTTTTTAAGCGTATATTTGTGTTTTCATTTAGTTTTTATAATTTTTATAAATAAATATACATACATATGCGAGTAAAGATAAAAGACCTTAGGAAAACAAGATGATAGTAACAAAAAAAACAGAAGAAAATTAGGTATGCAACATTTTAGGAAATCATGGAAAAATCATACATGAACCGCACAGTACGACTTTATCAGATAAGGTGACTTTAAGATTGGTATATAAAACGACACAATTTTCGTACGATTATGAAATATCGTACAGTAAGTTCTTATATAATCTTGTAAGAACCATACAAACTCTTAATTTATAGGATTGTTTGACTTAGGCAAGCCTTCTTTTCTTTATGTACATTCACAAAATGATTAAAAAAAAAACAAATGACATCATACCAACTACTGAAAATAGGAAAAAAGACTAATAAACTGAGCATAAGATTTAAATAAGTTGTGATTCATTGTCAAACATTTTAGTTATTGTAGGTTTTAATATGCGAAATCGTGTACCTTCAATAGGTATTTCAGTTTCTTGATGAATTATTATCGAATGGAGATTTGATTTGGGCATTGAGCTTAAACGAGAAAATCGAGCTCGATTTCTTTTACTCTGTTTTTTTTTAATAATTGCTGAACATTATGATTGTTCGATTTTGTAATTGAATTTTCATGTAGTTCTAATGGATATGAACGTTTTGCAGTCGATCGATCAAATGTTAATGGCGACGATGTAATATGACGTTGTTGCCGTTCATAAGTAAATAAGTCGTGCCATTTAGGCGGTAAAAGTTCCATGATTTCTTGATAAAAATGACATGTATTCTTTATTCGTTGATGACAATTGTGTACCTAATGATTGTAGACAATATAGATCGACAAATATTGATGACATTTCTTGACATATATCAACAAGATCATTAACAAGAAGACGTACTTTTTCTCGACTATTAGAATTTGTTAAATGATAATCATCTCTATTAAATATATCAAGATCATATTCTTTTGTAAATAATTTAAAACGAAATAATTTTCGTTGTGATTTCATATCATTTGACAATAGATTATCATTGTTGTTATTTGATTCTAAATCAACATTCACTGATAATGATAATTTAAAGGATTTCCATTGATTGATAATAGATTTCGATAAATCATTTCTACGAAGATTAGTTGTTGTAAAATTTGTTTCATTTGAATCATTTTCATGAATTATTTTATTATAATCACGTGCAATTTTAACATCATAATGAAAAAATTTAGTTATATTTTTATTCGATTGATGTAATAGAACAACTTCTTTTATGCGAAATATAGTTAATACCATAATTATAATGCATATTATATTAACAATAATAAGTAATAAACTACAACAAATTAATATAACTGCTTCACTTGAAATATTACATGTATAAAATGGTTGATAATCATTATTAATACATTTACTACAGTTAAGATTCAAAGGATATTTTGTTTTAGTATTATTTTGTAAAAAAAGAAGAATGAAAAACAATCATATTCGATACTAAATAATGAATAAGCAAAAAGAAGTCCATAATTTACAGCTGGTGAAAGAAGAGATGTTAGAATATGATTATAACGTAATAAAAAGCAATCTTATTCAATAAAAGGAAACCATACAAACCCGAAACAGCAACACCAAAAAGTGAACCTAATTATAAAAAAAATCAAATTGTTTTAGAACAAAATGATTGAAGATTTTTACCAGTATTTCCCCCCAGTACGGAAAGTGCGACATCAGCTTCACTAGATAAAGCAATAAAGATACCTACTCATAATCTTTTGATATTACCACGTAATTTCATTTCAGATGTTGAAAAACTTGTTGAATTTCTCCGGTCTGTTTCGACAAATGTTGTAAAGAATCTACAGAGATAAAAACTCAAAAACAAAAAAAAATTTAAATGAAAATCTTCTTTCTCAATTTGTACCCAAGAATAAATCCATTAATAAGACAAATAATTAAACCGATTAATTCATTTCGCAAACTTTGTTGCCATAATGAATTTTCACGCATAGAAAGACCAAATACAATATCTAATATTGAATTCATTAATGGACTAACAAGTATACTGGCAATAATAATAACAGTCGAATTTTCTAATACACCTAACGCAGCTAACATTGAAGCAAGACAAATTAAAAATATGAAATCAAATGAAATAGCTGATGATGCTTTTATAATTACTAGCCATTATTTGACGAACCATAAGTCGAACTCATAAACTTTTTTAAATGTTCTATTCATGAACACGTTAACGAATTTTATATGATAAAGCAAGACTGTTGGATGGTGAACCATTTACTTCATTTATGTTACCTTCTTCATTAATAGGTGATGATTTATTATCAATCATATTATTTTTATCTTCGATCGAATTTAATGATGATGATGATGATGATGATGATGATAATGATCTGTTTGCTTTATTATTATCTCCTTTTAAAATGAAAGTTGTCGGTAGAACAAATATCTTTGCACAATTTCTTTTATCAATACCAATTTTAGTTAAATCTTGTAACATACGATCACTAGCGAAACAAAATTCAACATAAAATGTAATTTGAAATGTTTTTTTTATTATCCGATATAAGCCATATCGCTTCAATATCACTTCTATCAGCAAGATAATTTTGTAATAGAACACATATTGATAGTGAAGATGATTGTTGTTGAGTTATTAATGAGTCTTGTCCATGTTCTCTTTCATTTAACGAAATAACTCCAGTTGGTTTAGCAAGAGCAATGACAACCAATGCTATCAATAAAGATACTGTATCGACGGATGACTTTCAAGAGAGAAACAAGTGTAAGAATTTCTAGTAAAAATATATTGAAATGCTTAAACTTTCTTAGATTTTTTAAAATAACATATGTTGTTGTCGTTGGAACAATAGAAATTTCCACATCAAAATCGTCTGGCACAGTAATAATAAAAAGTACATAATCATTTGACACGATTAAATACTGATTACCTTAAAATAGTGGGAAAAAATATTTTAAAATTCTTCTTCTATTCTGCTGACATTGTCTGAATGCAACGATCGGTAATTAGTTAGCATCAGTACATCCGGCAACCATTTTTCCTTGTAATAAAAGTTAATTAACATAAAACACGCATCAATCGTTTATAGCGAATGAATATTAAATCTATATTTATTAGCCATGTTTGAAGGAGAAAGAAAAACTTCTCTTCCACTTTGAATTCAGTTTTAATTTTTACTTCTATAGAATACAGATTAATTGAAACTAATCGTGCCAAGAACTCTTGAGCAAATCATTTCTTGAAGAAAAGAATTCATAACATATATATTTAGGTTTATTTACGTTTTTAGATTTTTCTTTATCTGAACATCGGAAAAAATTCTGATACACTGTTTTTATCCTCTGAACACAATGATTTAGCTGTTGTAACGGCTGTATTTTTATTTTTAGTTGATACTGAATCGTTTTGTTTATATTAAAATGCTAAATCTACAAGATCATAGGTTGTCTCGTTTTTCATTTCACGCATACCTTTTCTTATTTTTTGTCCTGTCGTTTAGATTCTTTTCAGATGTTCCATTTTTTTTCTACTACTGTACAGTAAATACTCTTCTTCTGATATATTGTCTTTCAAGAATATTTCGAAAAATTCTCATTTTCTATTGCTGTAGTATCGATGATAATTGCTCATTTTCTCATTGATGGAATAGAGTTGTTCACGATTTCTTTATACAAACAGTTAGCTTAGAGTTAAATGTGTAAGCCAATGAATTCATGGACGACTGGAATTTCTTAATATCTTTTCCAAAACATTTTCTTAGTTCCTTGAAAGTTTGAAATGAAAACAAGAAGACAATAATGTTAGAAAGCGTACAGAAAAGAAACTAGACAAGAGCATTGTAGATAACTGATTCTAGATTTCGAAAATCAAGTATCTATTTTTTCATATTGTATTAACAGCGACTTATATCTCTACTCTGGTGCTGAGTAAATAAATCATTGAAGATTTTCTTCTGAAAAGAAGCTTAAACTGTCATCATCATATTCTATTCTTCATTTTAATAATGAAATATATTTGCCTGAAAAAAGAAACACCATGAAAGTATGCTTACTGTAACACTCCAGAAGGACAAATTAGATTAGATACTGAATGTTTTACTTTTCAAATGAGAAAAATTGTTTATTTTAATTATCGTAACGTTTGTATGAAATCATTTTAAGTTAAATACCATAAATTAATTGAAGAAACACTTTTCGACAGCCAAATATTTCGTTCTCAAAGGGTTAATTATTATTTTGAATTTTTCTCTGTCTAAAAACAGTTTCTTCTGTATGATCAAATAATTAAAAGACATTTTCACATATTATCAATTGTCAAAACCTGTCATCCAAGGTTTCATAAATTTATATGATTCAATTATGATGACGCATGCAACAGTGTTTATATCAGTAATAAATTGATATGTGTCTTTGTTTTCATCACTAGATAGTAGAATACTACTGCATGGTCTTGCATACTTCTCTATAGTTTTTTGCTTCTACGGAATAGGACCAAATTAGATTCTATCATTTCTTTTCAAATAAGCTTCTTAGTAAGATTAGTACTTATATGTATTATATTTTTGTTTAGTTCTCTTACTTTCTTTGTTATACAAGGCCTTATAAATTATAGTAAAGAATAAAGAAAAAAAAAGGGAAGAAAAAAAGTAAATAAAACATGAAATTAAAAAAAACACTGTCTTTATTATGGTTTTTTGATTTGTTTCTTTCGTAAATCTTGATCCATCATTTGTAATAAAATTGTTGAATTATCAGAATTACGTTCAATACGTTTGACTAAATCATACATATATTTCACTGCAAGTGTTTGTTCTTCAAGCATTTGTTTTTCAATAAAATGAACTGTTGGATAATCTTTTTCATTATGTGCTGCTAAACGCACTTCAATGAGATTATCATATACTTGACGTTCCATTTGTTCAGTTGTTTGTATCATTTTTGTAAGATCTTCCATTGATGCTAATTTATCCTCAATTGTAATATCATACAAAAGTAATTCACGATTGCGTACATTATAAAAATCAAGTAATTTTTTTCCATGATCACGTTCTTCTTCAGCGGAATCAAAAAAGAATTCTGCAAAACCATGATAAACACCACGTGTAGCTAAACGATGGGCAAATGTTAAATATGTATTTGAGGCAAGAAATTCCTTTTGCACTTGATTTTGATATAGTTGTTTTAAGTCATTACCAAATATTAATGGTGAAAAAAATAGAATAATGATAGTACTGACAAATACTGAGGATGACACCATGTTAAAAGAAGCGAATAGTTATGTAAAATGAAATATGTTACAACATGAAGAGAGCACAGATATCTCTTATCTTATTTTGCTCTTCGTCAAGACATCTTTTTATCCAACATACAGCTGACTTGCGCAATCATATGACATTTATGAAGAAGAAAAAAAAACTAAACCAAATTATTTATTATTTCAAAAACAAAAAGAAAAGAAACAAAGATAAAACAGGTTATCTAAGCAGCAGCAACTAAATCATCATAAGAGCCTAATTGTTCATGTGTTAGTTCATATTTTGAAATATCATTTAAACCACAATCATCAATAGTTATATATTTCTTTGGAATACTTGTTCCTTTAAATGTTTCCATTTCGCCTAATTCATATACGAAATCCTTTAAAAGACAAAAAAAACACAATATAAATATTATAAGTCATAATATTCATAGATAAAATAATTTTTTTTTTCTTTTACCATTCCTGAAATAACACGTCCAAACGCTACATGATGACCATCAAGCCATCGAGCAGGTACAAGTGTTATAAACCATTGTGATCCATTTGTATCTTCTCCATAATTTGCCATTGATACCCAACCAGGTGAACGATGACTTAAAATATAATTTTCATCAATAAACTTCTCACCATAAATACTTCTGCCTATCAAAATAAGATATGTTTATATTAAAAATAGATTCAATAATGAAAACGTTTGTCATTTACCTCCACTACCATCTCCTTTTGTAAAATCACCGGTTTGAATAACAAAATCCCGAACAATACGATGAAAAGGCGTACCTTTATAAGTATACTTATCCTAAATAGTTAATTTACATATAACATTATAAATCTTATCATATTCTTTTCAATATTTACCGATCCTCGTCGAAAACCTTTAGTAATTGTGACAAAATTAGTAACAGTCATTGGACAAATTTCACCAAATAAACCAATAATAATTCGTCCTGTTTTTATCGGCGTAGATGATACTTTAGTTTCTTTCACTGATATATTAAACCATGCTTCATGTGTGACATAATATTTTTCAGGTAACTCATCCTCAAGACCATATTTTCCACTATATGCTTCGATAAAAATTATTTGTTGAACAGATAAAAATATAAGCAAAGCAAATATTGTTGACATTTCAATTTATCGTTGTTGTTAATTTAGAAACTAAACTCTATGCCATATAATATATATATACATTAACATAAAATAAAAACGAAAACGTTACTTACTTTATATTACCAAGCAAATGTATAAAATACGAGTGTTCGACTAGAACTAATTTATACTCATTGGAATAATTGGCGACGTGGCAGTTATCAAGATGATACCACCCTACTATGCTCAAGAGCGTACACTTAAGTCTAAAGTATCGACCTTCAGTGGAAATGAAATGCTAACGTGGCAATATAATATCTTATATTTCATTCAGAAACAACGATCAATTGAATTCAATATGACTCTCATATATTACCTCGATCAAACATGTTTCTATTTAATTTTGTTTTGTTTAATTTGGTTGTGTTATTATTTATCTTTGGTCTTCTTTTTATAAGTTTCCTGTATATTTTTTTAAATCTCATTCATTTCGTTTGATATAATTTAACATCCAAACTTCTCAAATGATAACGCTAATATGCGTCTTAACAGATATAAATGATGGCACTCTCGTTCGAGATCATCGTTTTTCAAATACTCGATCTCAGAAAAAAGTATCATCATTTGTTAAATAAACATACATGCACTGTATGAACAAAGGGAGAAAATATGCGAAATAGGACAAAAAAAGACAATAATAGAACGAGAGAAATATTGAAATAAACAATAAAAATTAAGTTTCAAATCAATAGAAGACCGATGACCGTTACTGTCGGCAAAGAGAAAAAAAAAGGCGAGCGGATAAACGCCGGTCCGTTTAAGTGTATGTATATGAAATGAAACGAACATAACATTAAACAATCAAACAGAGAGCGAAAAAAAAATAACAGTTTTCTGTCAAAAAAAAGAGAGACATCATGTATGTAATAAATGATTGTGGATGAATGAGATTGCGCGTCATTAAAAAAAAAAAAGGTATGTTAATCATTTAGTTATTTTCTTTCATGACGTACTGTCCCACCAACTGTGGTCTGCTTGACGATTACCATTACCACCCGTAGTTTGTTGTTGAAAACGGTCATAACCAGCAGCACCACCTGATTGATGATCACCAGTCCACATGTTTCCACCGGCACCACTATTAGATCCATCCCATTGTTGTTGATGATTACTATATCCACTCGTTGAACTGCCCGATCGATTATTACTACCACCTCGATTATTACGTAATTGTGCTGGATTACGATAATCACGAGCACCAAAACCACCAGCACTAGAAAAAAAATATATAATAAAATATTTATATTAACCAAAATAAATGAAATTATTTACGCACCGTCGACCACCACCGTAATTTCGTTTGGAATAATTATCTTTTTTAGTTTCTCTTGCAATACCTTCGAGCCATTCGGGTACTTCTTGATGTGCTTCACTTAAGATATCGAGTAAATCTGTAGCAATATTACGATTTTTTTCATTAAAAAATGACGTTGCTTGACCTATAAAAATAGGATAAATGTGAACAACAAAAATTTTCATAAAACAATATCAATTTCTTCTTACCTGTCATACCAGCACGACCTGTTCGACCAATACGATGAACATATTCATCAATATCCGATGGTAAATCAAAATTAATCACATGTTTAACGTTTCTAAGATAAATCGAAAAAGGATGACATGAGAAACCGTTTAGAATCAAAATTTAGTCGTAACAAAAAGAAAAAAACAATTATACTTAATTCATTTTTAAAAATGTTTTAAGTCAGTTTATCATGAAAACAATCATAAATCTATTGAAAAGTGATACTAAAATCCATGTAGGAAATAAGGAAGTTAAATATTGATTCAATTAAAATACAACTTAATACATAGTAATATTAAGTCTTAGAGAATGTACCATCTTGTCATAATCACTGATTGTACAATGAGAATCATTCGAACTGAAAGGATAGTATATCGTGGAATAGGTTACAGCCTGTTTGATTCAAAATTTTTTGACCCGAACCTATTCTATCCAGTGTTTTTTAGACACAGACCCTGTTGATTGAAATTTTTTTGTATTCAACCGAACTGTAATCTGATATTCTCGATAACATACTCTACATATTTCTCAGACTACTAGAGCCCATCGAATCCAAAAAATTCAAATCTGTACATAGCAAGCACTAGAATAAGTTCCTATTATTCTATTTTCCAACTGTTATCAATTTACTAATTGATTTATTTAAGTGTCTTTCTTTAANTTCATTTTTAAAAATGTTTTAAGTCAGTTTATCATGAAAACAATCATAAATCTATTGAAAAGTGATACTAAAATCCATGTAGGAAATAAGGAAGTTAAATATTGATTCAATTAAAATACAACTTAATACACAGTAATATTAAGTCTTAGAGAACGTACCATCTTGTCATAATCACTGATTGTACAATGAGAATCATTCGAACTGAAAGGATAGTATATCGTGGAATAGGTTACAGCCTATCTGATTCAAAATTTTTGGGCCCGAACCTATTCTATTCAGTGTTTATTAGACACAGACCCTGTTGATTGAAATTTTTTTGTATTCAACCGAACTGTAATCTGATATTCTCGATAACATACCCTACATATTTCTCAGACTACTAGAGCCCATCGTATCCAAAAATTTCAAATCTGTACATAGCAAGCACTAGAATAAGTTCCTATTATTCTATTTTCTAACTGTTATCAATTTACTAATTGATTTATTTAAGTGTCTTTCTTTAATCTGAATGATTGACAAATTATGAAAATTCTTTATTAAATGATTGTAAGCATAGATAGAGTGTGTTTCTTTTTACAGAATCAGTAGTACAGATACTTACGGAATATCGAGACCTCGAGCAGCTACACTTGTCGCTACAAGAATAGGTGTACGACCATTTTTAAATGATCTCAGTGCTTCTTCACGTTGAGCTTGTGATCGATCACCGTGAATACTGTTCACTGAATACTGATGATTGAATAAAAAATCTTCAAGCACATCAGCTCCTCGTTTTGTCTCAACAAATACCAATGTTAATGCATCTAAACATTGGATAAAATTAATAATTCAATAAAATAAAAATTCTTTTTTTTTACTACCAGATTGAATGTTTAGTAAATCAAGTAAAAATGAACGTTTTTCAGCTTCTTCTACCCATACAATTTTTTGTGTTATATTTTGTGATGTTGAACCCACACGACCAACAGCCAAAAATACGTAGTCATGAAGAAAATCTCGTGCTAATTCCTAATTTATTAATCATATTTATATTTTAGAAAAAATGAAAAATTAGCAAACCTGAATTTGTTTTGGAAAAGTAGCTGAAAACATCAGCGTTAATCGTTGACCCGTAGGCGACATATCTGACCGTTCAACGATCTCACGAATTTGAGGCTAAAAAAAATTCACTCATTATTTTATAAATATTTCATTTGCTAATATTCTTACTTCAAAGCCCATGTCGAGCTAAAACAATACAATAAATAAAAATTATTAATTATGAAAAATAAAAAGAGAAAAAAAAGATTCCTTTACCATGCGATCAGCTTCGTCAAGTACCAAATACCTTCACATATGAAAAAAGAAAGCCTTGAGATGAGAAGAAAAGAAAAAACAATTAAATAAATCCTACCGGACATTGGCCAATCCTATACGACCTCGTTGTATCAAATCATTAAGACGACCTGGTGTAGCTACTAAAACATGAGCACCTTTTTCCAAATCACGTGCTTGAAAACCAATATCAGCTCCACCATAGACGACACACGAACGAACCATAGAACGATAAGAAAACTGAACAACAAAACAAACATGTATATTTTATTTTTATATCTTGAAAAAACAAATTTACTTTTCGTGTTTCATCATAAATTTGTGAGGCTAATTCACGTGTCGGTGCCATAACAAGACAAAGTGGATACTGTTTACGATTATTTTGTATATTACTTGGAGGATTACGCACAGGTCCCTCTTCGAAGATCATATGCAATATAGGAAGAAGAAATGCAGCCGTCTTGCCTGAGCCTAAAACCAAAAATTTTTCTACTATTAATATATATCGAATTTATCATTATAAGTTTTCCTTAATTTCTATACATTCAATTTTAGAAACAGTAAATATAGTAATTGTATAAAAACAAAGTCTTTCAAATATAATTAATTCATATATCTTACCAGTTTGAGCACAGGCCATTAGATCACGTCGAAGTAATATAGTTGGTATAGCATAACGTTGTACAGGTGTTGGTTTACCATAATTAGATAGATTGACATTATTTTTAATAATTTCACCAAAATTACAATCATCAAACTGCGAAATGAAGAAAAAAGAAAAACAGAATAAAAAAATGAATCATAGTTAAAATACGAACTGTTTCAATTGGTGAATGATCCATATGTGAAGATTCAACAGGAATATCATTATAAAGTTCAAAATTAATACCAGTTGGATGTACACCAAATAGTTCTCTATAAAAAAAAACCTACATGTATAAAATATTATTGTGTTTAATTTTAATATCATTACCTTTCAAGATTAGCATTTGCTGGTAAAGGTGTATTCCAATCAGCACCGGTTGCATCACCTGATTGACCACCAACATGTGAATGAAATGGTTTATGAGGAACACGATCTCGTCGACCATAATGATTATCACGTTGTCCTCCATAACCACTATTATTATTATTATTGTCTCGACCATTTCGACTCTTATAATTACCCGAAAAACCACTAGTACTACGTTGATTGGAATTATTACCACTATTATTATTATGATACGACGTTTGTCTTTCAGCTAAAATAGCATCCCATCGACCACTTGTTTGTTGTTGTTGGGATGATGGCTGATTAATAACACCAGTTGGATCTTGACGATTATATGTTTGTTGAAGTTGTGGTATATCATTGAATCTAATTTAATTATATATATATATATATATATACCGATATTATCGATAGAATAAGAATCTTACGATCGATTTTGTATTTGTATTTGATGTTGAATAGGTTGGCCATAACCTCGAGTATCAAGTGGTTGTGGAGGATTCATTGGACGTGGCATTTGTCCTATTTGTTGATAAGCATTTGACATAGGTTGATGATAGATTTGTGTTTGTTGAGGTGCCATTTGTGGTGGTGGTTGACCATAGTATGATTGTTGCGAAGGATGAGGATGAGGATGATGAAGAGTATTGCCACCACCATAATTATTGCCATAGCTTTGTTGTGGATGTGGTTGACCAACATTAACTGATCCTCGATAACCACCTGACATATTGCCATTGTTACCATAATTACCACTAGGAAAGCAATAACAAGGTATTAACAAAAAATCAAAATTAATATATATTGTACTTCGGTATATTCATTCGATTTTGTATATGGGGAGGTCGATAGACTTGTGTAGAAGAAGATTGTGGTTGTTGTTTGGGAGGAGGAGCTCCACCACGACTATAACCACCAGCATAAGTATTATCATTATTACCTTGTTCACTATTATTATTCTGAAATCTTGAATTATCATATGAACCACCGAGTGATGGTTGTTGCGTCGATTTTGTATCTTGACTAAATCAAAAAACAAAATTCCATCAATAAGCAAGATTGATTTTTCTTTAAATTAGAAATGAACGCTTACTCATTGATCATCGTATATTATTGTTTGTTTTTTTTTGTGATTTTGTTATAGACAGGGAATTTTGTTGATGTTAATAAAAATGTTTTTTTCTAAAACTTAAAAAAAAAACAGAATGACGAAATAATTATTATTCAAAGAAATACACCGAAATCTTAAATACGATCAATTCAAATTTTAACAGAAAATAATTAAAATACACAAGCGATAAAGATCTTATTACAGATATCTGATGATTGTCATTAACTGTATACAACAGTGTATTAACTAACATTCCCTTTATTTTCAAACCTCATTTGTTTGTTTATTCTCTGTTTTCTTCTCGCTTTCTCTCTCTCCCCCCCCCCCTCTCTTTCTCATCATCTCATCATCTTTGTCATCTGCCAATGTAACAGAGAATTTTTGAAAAATAAAATCTATCGAATTACGTGAGTTTTATTAAAATATTAACCAATTATTAAACATTTACATGATTCCTTTAAAAAAAAAAATAAAATAAAGAGCACAAGAAAAAACATAGACAACAATGCAAGATAGAGGACGCTACAAATCGTGACAACAATACTTTATTATTTCTATTTGTCACTCTCATCAATTAATTATTTTAATTGATTAGATGAATATGTGATCAAAGATAAATTGCTAAACTTCAATATAAAATTTTCACGTGATTATCAGATTGATCAAGAAATCAAATATTAATTTTTTCGTTGAGCTTGATTTAGTTATTGCGTTAATTAGTTTATTTATGAATTTTTTTTTTCATTCACCGGTAGAGCATTCGACAAAAAAAGTTCATGACTATCCCAGACACAAAAAACACCAACGAAAAACATAAAAGAAAAAAAAAATATTGCAAAAGATAGATGAAGATCTATGCGTACAAGAGGCAAAAAAAATATTTCAGAGAAAAATTTACTGCATTAAACAAAATTCAGATCAATATAAAATAAGAAATATCTACATGTAAAATAAATGGTTAAGAAAACGAAAAAAAAAAAGAATTTAAAGTTCGTTGAATAAATGTTTCATTCATTTTTGATTGGAATCATTGTTTTGAAGTAAAAGTTGTTGCTCATAGTCACTTGTAAATGTTTCATTTTGATCAAGACGATGTTCTTCATCAAAGAATGATGATATGTTCATTGAATTTGAAGGTGAAGAAACATTAGCTGTATCTTCAACATTATTTGTTGTTGGTATTTTTTGTGATTGTGATGAAGAATTTAATGGAAATATATCTTTAACATGAGTAATAGTTCGAGTTGTTGATTCAATAACACCAAATGTACTTTCATTTGATGTTATACCAGATCGAACAAGAGGAATGAGAAATTTGACATTTTTTGGTGCTGAAACAATTGATACGCCTTCATTGGGAGCCGTGCTTGTTTCATCAATAGAATTACTCCGTGGATTTTTTGACATGAGACGACTGAGTGCAGCACCAAGTACACTATTTTCCGTATAAAATTGATATTCATTAAAAGATTCATTACTTAAGAGATTTTGATTATGATTTGTATTAACTGTTGATGAATGTTGTGATTGAAGATTAAAATGAGAATGTCTGAAAAAATAATCTTTGATACCTATATAAATAATAAATCTTACCGTTCTTCTTCACGTTTAGTTTCAATCCAATTATTAAATAATACCCAATCACCAAATGTCATTGACAGAACCTTTAGAAAAGAAATACTGATTAATATATCAATGAATTTATTTGACATTTATACTTGTTTAAGTTCACTAAGTTCACATGTTGCTAAGACTCGACCACTAATATTATATTCATTAATATCATGAATATAAATTGGTATCATTGCTGTTTTCAAACCAACAATATCATTCTTTAAGCAATCACATATATCATTCACTGACATTCGACTCAATGGTGGCGATAAATCGACCTATTATTTAGAAATGAAAATTAAAAAAATATATATATCATGTATTTTATTGAAGAAAACACAACGTTTACTTTGACATTTCCACAAGGATCTGGTAGTGCAGAGTTTTTTTGATTAATCAGTGGTGGTATAACAGTCGCGGATGTTGATACAATGGGTGATGTTCGATTACGACTATCTTCATCATCGGCTAGTTTTTTCATCGGTGCTTGATTATATATATGATGAAGCGGCAAATCAAATGAAGGACGATGTTGATTTCCTAGAGAAAAAGTAGACGAAATAGATAAACTAATATAAAAAACTGTCTCTTAATACCAATATAATCTGGTCCACCAAGACTAAATCTCGGACAAAATGTACTCTTATGTCGTGATGCAGGTCCTTGCTGGAAGAAACCACCACGTCCAGCAAAACTAAAAAAAAACAAAAGATAAACAATTCAAAACTTAAATTCTAACCAAGTTGACTATAAAGAAAAAAAACACAGGCAAAAAAAAAAAACAAAGTCTCTACATGCAATGCGAAAAATATCTCAAAACCTTATAATTTTACCATTTAATACAATGACAATAATAAAAATCTCTGAATATAAAACAATTATATGATTATCTACTGTTGAAGATTTCCTGTTTTTTTTTTTTCATTTTTTCCGTACGTGGAATCACGCCGAGCAAAAAATCCCG